GGGGCTTGTGGTGGTGTAAGGAGACTTTGGATAAAAGGTGCCCGCATAGATTTTAAATGTTGCATGTGTTTAGGTCGTGGCCTTAACGACACATTTGATACACTTATGAATCTGATGTGATTTTCAACCCAACAACTATGGTGGAATGAAGAACTTAATGAGAATAATAAGAATATAGATGAAATATATAATCCTCGTATGCTTCTATTAGCTAGATTAAGCTTGAGTTACAATGGAGGATTCATCCCCTATTTATAGTCTAATTCTATCGTATACAAGGTATGCAATTTTGTGGACTACATTATGAGTAACTCAACTATCATGCATCAATCGTGGCGGGGGATTAGTCATCAATCAGCCCCTCAATCCCATGAATTGGGGAATCACGTTTCCCTCTTACACCGTGTTTAATCAACCTCTTTGGGCCGGACTTGGCCCGCCACTTCACTTGTTCCTTGGGCTTCGGCCTCTCCTCCTGTTCCGGACTCGGGTTCTATTCTTGTTGGGTCACAAAATCACATTTGGGCTCCATTCGGCTTGCTCCAAGGTCCCGATATTCATCACAAGCCCCTAGTTTCTAAGTGACGCATCACTCAAAAATTAATGATGAGCCGATTTCGAATCTCGTACCGGATCAGAAACGATCCCACTTCTTATTCGGGTTCTGTGTCGTAACATCTATAAACCCATCTCTCTCCGGCCATCCACCCCCTCACTCTTGTTCCATTCTCAATCCAACTTTAGAGATATCTTTACCAGTGAATTTCAGCCCTCTTCCCAAATTTTTTAGCATGTCTTCCAAATCCACTAAACTGGAGCAATGACGACCCGAATCGTCTATCATCAAGGGCTCAAAGCTGGTCCTTATGCGCAATCTTCTTGGCAAACCGTTTAGGGTTCACCATTTGGACGCCGTGGGCGGTGTGAACCTCGCTTTCAATCTACATCCGCATCGCTTTCTAGTGATGCACTATAATTCAGTCCTTGCCGGCTTCAGGTTGCCACTGCATCCCATCATATGGGATGTTTGCACAACCTGGGAAGTTCCTCCTGGGAAATTTACTTCGAACGCCCATGAGTACTTTGCCTTGTACATCTTTTGCTGTCATAATAAGCAAAGGGTTCCGTCCATTGAGGATTTCACAACTATGTTTAGTCTTGGTGGCCCCTTTCCTTACTTCAGCGTGTATCCGAACAAGCATTGCCCCATTTTCAAGAAAGTAGAGCTGAAGATCGAGCAATGAGCCAGGAGATACTTTGTCGTTGAGTTTCCACACCACAGCCCCCTAGACCTTCCCTCTGTGGCACTTCGCTCTAACCTTCCCTGGACCGCTTTCTCCAAATGTTCCTGGGTCAAGAAGGCCTTTAAAGAAATGAGGGGTGACACCCTTATCGACCATGAGGACCTCCACATAGAGCGCCTATTTCGTCTAGCCGGTTTCCACTTTCCTATGAATAACTCTATTGTGCCCCGCGTCAAGGGGAATCAAACATCCTCCGCGAGTGTAAAGGCGAAGGATTCCCGGAAATCTCCTACAAAGGAGGTGCAAGTAGAGTAGGGTCCTTCAAGACCTGCCGTCATCAAGTGTCTGGAGGCCATTCATGTGACCTCTATGGTCCCCTCCCCCCAAATATAGAGAGAGGTATCCTCTCAGGCCACCGTTACCCGGCCTACAGGTCTGATCCTCTAGAAGCCTTCTAGTACGCAGAAATGTAAGCAGTTTGACCTAGCTATCGTTCTACAACTGAAGAAGGCAAAGGGATCCTAGGACAAAACTGTCTTGGAATCTCACCCTTTTCCCTTATCCACCCCTCTAGCGGATGTCTACTCAGATCGCTCCCACTAAAGTTCCCTCCCGGGAGGGAGGGATCAAGTGAACATGCTGAAGGTGGATTCTCCTAGTATGGGCGGCGTTTAGTCTGCGAATGCTTCAGGTCCCGAGTTGTCCGCCAACGCATCCTGTCCCATACAGGCATCCCAGGCCGAGGTGATGGCTTCGCACTCAACTGGGTTGTCTTCTAAAAACCCTAGGCAAATTCTCCCCACCGGGGGTGGATATCGGGATGGTCGTCCTTCTTATGTATGTCCTCCTTCCCCGGATCCCAAGGACTCAGCTCCTTCTTCAAATCTCCCCCGTATGGATCTTCTTCTACCCCGGTGAACCTACATCCAGTAACAAATTAAAAGTTCACCTTGGAGACCTTAGTCCAGCACAAGCAAAAATGGGTCTGTATTCGAGATTGTCTGTCATCTGCCAAGGAGGCCCATTCCAGGGGCAGGAAGATGACGAAACAAGTCCGGGAGCTAGCTCTTAGACCAGCCCCCGGTGACATCACTGATCGCCATAATGTGGTGGCTCTCGCCACGCATGGCTTCATGGAAAAGGTAATA